ATTTGGTAATGGCTCAAAGAAGATAAAATGAGTTGACTGCCCTCAGGGAGCTCAGCCTGGCTGGGGAGCCAGTGCTTTTCCAGAGCGCACGGGAGCTGAGAAGGAGGGATACCTACGCTGAGGTACCGGTGGGTCAACCGGGAGTCTTGCCAGGTGCTAAGATCTTGCTCAAGTGGTTGAGGAGGAAGGGCGTTCCCAGCAGAAGCAGCAGTTTGTTTGAAAGCGTGTCACGTGCCGAGCTGCATAAACATCTGTCGGGCTAGGGGTAGTGGAGGGAGAGGAAGCCAGCAAGGTGGTGATGGGCCGAGTCACAAAAAGCACTGAAGACTCCACCAGCACTTGAGTTTATCCTTTCGGTGGTGGGGAGGAGGGAAGAAGGATTTTCAGCAGGGGAATTACATGAACAGATTTATCCTTTAGAAAGATCACTCTTGAATGGGTGTGGAGGAGAGATTATAGGGCTGAGGGTGGAGGCAGAGACACCTGGCCAGGTGGCAGGTGCAGAATTCTTGATTGGACGGGGGATTGTTTGAATGGAGGCCTGAATTAAATCAGAGGATTTGGGAGGAGGGGAAAAAATCAAGACAGACTAAGAAAGTAGAACATGAATTACTTGACTATTTATCTTGTATGTGTTGGGAGTTGTCATTAAATGATTAAACGATTGTTGTGCTGAGAGATCAGGAAATGTTTCTTTGGTTAGGCAAAGTAAGTCTTAAAACTCGAAGACTGCTTCTCATGTTGTGGTCACAGCGTGTCCTTGGAAGTCTCATGATGTTTCTGGGCTGTTTATGCTGCCTTATGCGCTGGATGTATTTTAGGTTCCACACAAGTTACGGTTTCAGGACTGCTTATTTTTCAAACAAGCCGAACAAGTGACGATTCTTTTTAAAAACCATTCACTACCCCGTCACCCTGTATCCTTTTTCTGGCCGTGATCTGCCCAGTCTCTGCTGGTCATGACATTTATTGGCTGTCTCATCTCCTGCCTCCGCCTCTCATACCTTTCTTAACTTCCGATTAAGGAATTAGCTCTTCACTTATTCAATAAATCGTTTCACAGGTACTTTTGTCTAAAGGTTTCAGAAGTCGAGCGATACAGCATCCCCTGCTGATTGAGAAAAACTGTAGGTCCACTCACTCTCCAGCTCCCACATGCCAGAGCCTGTGTACAGAGTGTTCTACAAAGTTCAAAGAACACGAGGCTAACCCTCTAAGAGCTTGACATCTGAAAACAAGACTATGCAGGTAGAAACTGGCAGGAAGAAAATACTGGAAACGGAAGGGTTTGGTCTGAGACGCTGCTGCAGAGTTATGGCCTGAAGTTAGGGTCTTGAGAGCTAACACTAATGCACTGCATTCTTTGAAGGCTTACGATGAGTGTAGCCCAGAGCCTGGGTTCTACGGGTCTGACATCCTGGCTCTGCCACTTACTGTGTGTGTCGCCTTGGGCCAAGTTACTTAATCTCTTGTGTTTCCCTTCATTATGTGTAAGATGAGGATTGTAAGAGTATCTGCCCTAGGACAACCGAGGGGATTAAATGGCACGTGCGTGTGGTGTGCAGAGCACACCTCCTGACACAAGCTGAGTGCAGTCAGCACTTGCTGTTCATGGTTCCCAAATTCAGAGTGAGGTGTCCTAAGGCTCACCTGAGAGAGTTGTGCTTTGTGAGTTCCAAGAAGCATTGCTTTCCTTCCAAACGAAAGCTGCTGGGGTTAGCCGTGAGCTCCTTTGTAGTCACTTTATGTTAATTGCAAAGAAAATTCTGTAACAGGCTTCTTCAGGACAAGTTAGTCTTTGGAGTTTTTGAGTTACCTCTTTGATCATATCATACGTGATTGGTCATCACTTCAGGGCACTTCCAGAAATAAGTCTGAAGGCCAGCAGGTGGCAGGTAACACCTTGGAGGAGAGTGAGGCATCACTGCCTCTCTGAGACTCTCCGTGGATACCCATCACCTCCCTCCTCATTTGAGTTCAACACACATTGAGCACCACTGCCTTTCAGTTCTGTATGAGGCTCCAGGGGTCCAAGGCTGAACAGACAAGTCCCGTTCTCATGAAACTTAGTTTAGTGGAAATATATGTAAACACATCTAATCCACTGTGATACAAGCACAAATGGAAGCATGTAGAAGGTCAGAGAGGTACATAGGAAGAAGCGTAAGGAACGTTGCACAGACTTGGTGACATCTCAGTAGACTGTGAGTAGGAATAGGGCAAGTCAGCAATCAGCATGGTTTACAGGAGAACTGGACCGTGGGGTGGGGTTGGGTGGGGAGATATGTGATAGGAGATAAAATTGAAAATGGAGGCTGGAGCTAGACCGTGTAAAAGCTTGGCCTTTATCATGTGGACATGGGGGCTGCTGAATGATTTTAGGCAACAGAATGCCATAAGATTTGCATTTTTAGCAGGATCATCCTCACGTGGAAGATGAACTTGCAAAGGATGTAGGATGTGCCGGCAGGTTCATGTCCTCAATGCACATTCATTGAGGCCAGCAATGGAGTCCTATGTCCCTCTGCATTCCTAAAGCCTAGTATTGTGTAGACACTGAAGACATTTTTTGGAATAAAGACAGCCCCAGTTGAAGTTTCCAATTCTGCATCCTCTCCTCAGAACATGCTGACCTGGACCTCCATCTGTCACAAGCAGCTTGACTAGGATCGCAATAAATTCTTTTTTCTTGGCATTCTTTTAACTGGCACTCTCTGTTTACTAGCCCTTCTGTGCAACTGTAGTGTGGTGATGATTGACGCTTATAATTCTGACCCTGAAGTGCTCCAAGCCGCCTAAATCATCCAAAAAAGATGAAAGTATATTCAATATTGCTGTAATGTTTGTGTGTTTTACCGAATTCTTATTCTTTGGAAATTGATGGTTTATCAAGTGCTCGTGTACTCATGTGCATGCAGGGGCAGTGAGAGTCTGTGATCACCCACGACTCTTCACCCCCGGACAGCACCAGGCGAGGGGTGTTTATTAGCAATGCACACTCAGAAATTAGCAAGCAAAACAGACCTGGGCTCTCTTCATGCCTGGAAGGAAGAAGGTTGGCCCCAAAGGGGCAGACTGGACAGAGATGAGAGAGGAAGCAGTGGTTAGAAAACAGTGGGAGTGATAAAGCAAGAACTGGACAGACAGCCAGTCGGGCAGTTTCCAAGCACACCCATGCCGCGGCCCAGCCCCAGAGGAGTGGGGTTCGGGGCCGGGACCCCAGCCTCAGGTTCTCGTGTGCCGTGACCCGGGTCAGATTTTTGGGCTTGGATTTGGCAGGCTCTTCCACCAGCTCTGTTTGTATTGCAGTAACAACTGTTCAGTAAAATGCCAAACATTAGCAAGTGAAAACGTCAATAATTAGAGCATCCTGTTCACGCCGCACACACATCTTACCGTGAAAACCATTATAACTGCAGAGCTGACGATATTATTTGGCCCAGAATGAAGAGCTCCAAATGGAAGCTGTGAGATGGCTCCATTTTGTAACCCGGTTTCCAAAACCAGGCACGTGATGATGTTATTAGGAGGGAGGTTTGCTGTTGGCTTTTTCTTTTGGGGGTTGTATGTTGCAGTGAGTAGAGACACCTCTTACATTTTCTTGTACAGATTTGTTTTTAAAATCTGCGTGTTTGATCAACAAGTCCTGCCTGTGTCTGGGTGCCTGGTCCCCACACCACAGGGATTCTATTCTATTTGTCACCCTCTGGGCAAGGGCACTTGCGGACTCTCGAGCTGGCTTTAACATTTTCTGCTCTGAGATTCCAGTGAGTCTCTTGGTCTCTCTGGGTCTTAGTTTTTTCTTTTTCTGACATATTGGAATAATACAAATTCCCTCTTTATAGGGTTGCTGTGGGGCTGAAATAAAACGGCGGATGTAAAAAAGCATAACTGGAAAGTCCTACGTAGATAATAACATAGTAAATACACTAAAGAACACCATAAATAGTCTAATAAAAAATAGAAATATATTTCATCAGCAAGCATAATGTCCTCAAAACGTGCCCCGAAGCGGTGTGGGGAAAATGAACCATGTATTGAATTCCTGCTGTGGAGGAGGTTTGCCAGCTGTGACTTTGTCCCCTCTGCAAGGTAGACATTGAACCCCTCTGTCAGAGGTGAGGAAACTGAGGCTTCCAGCCCCACAGCTGTACATCTACACAGCGGCAGTGGGGTCTGGACCTGACTCCAGAGCTGAATGCTCTTTCTTCTCATCTCTAGTTGTCTACCTCATTCCAGCCACCTACCCACCCCCCAAAGTGCTAAGAGCTGTTTACATCCCTTGGGGCCAGAACGTTGGCCAGCCCTTTCTTGGTCTTTTGCTCCTGAAAGCGGGACAGGGTGGGATCCAGAAGGAGCTCAGGAGCCCCAGGAGCCCTGGAGGGACGAGCAGCTTGGGGAGGTGAGGGGGCGGGGCACGCTCAGCCTCCACTTCTAGGGAATCAGCCAGGCCTGGACCGAGAATAGGAGGCAGGAGTGTGGCATTTCCCAGCCCTTGAGGAGATGGCTGCAGTCGCGTCATTTCCAGAACTTCATTCTTTCTGTGTCTCCCAACCTCACCGAGGTTGTTTGGAGAGCTGCTTCTCAAACCCTCCTCTCAGGAATCAGTGCCTCCTGTGTGTTCTGAGCGGCTCCTTGTTCTTCTAGCAGAGGCAGTGACAGTAAGTTTATTTCCTGTAGTAACCACTCTGCTGAGCTTTTCTGGGACCTTCCCTGTTAACTTTGATGTCATGTCAGGTATGGGTAGGGGGGAAGGACCCCCGATGTGGCAGTTACTAGGTGCCCAATGGGACCCATCACCGCACACATCTTCTTTTTTATATAAACTAGCCCTGACTCCAGATACACTGAGTCAGCTTGTAAGCCGAGCTGCCTACACAGAACCAGAGCTGATGCCCATCGAAGGGCCAGATGGCCAGATTCGGGGAGGATGTCCGCAGGCGGAGGAGCGTTTGTTCAGAAGGTGGGTCTGAGAGGAGCCGCGTGTTCTGTCCCCCCAGGTCCTCAACAGGCGGTGTGTGGAAGCAGCCGTGATGACCGGCCTGGCCCTGGACTGCCACATCAACAGGAGGTCCTTGTTTGACCGGAAGCACTACTTCTACGCAGACCTCCCTGTGAGTATGCTCTGCCCTCCGTCCATCCATCCGTCTGTCCACCCACCCAGAGCTGGGGCTTAGCCGCAGGAGGGGGCTGAGCGCCTCTTCAGCCAGAGCTCCATCCATCCCAGCGGGAGGCCCCGCCCGGCCTGATGAAGCCAGTGCCCCCTGACGTTTACTAGACTGGATGCCAGGGTCCTGATCGCCGGCTCTGGCGGAGCCTCGTGCTTCTGGCGGCTCGCTCCTAACTGACTGCGGAGGGGAAGCAGCCCGCGCTCTCAGGCTCAGCCCGGCTGTGGGGTTTGGTGCTAATTGTCGTTAGGACAGAAGCTACTTCCGTGGCTGATGCAGCAGTCAGCGCATCCTGTGGCTCCGGAGACAGAGCGAGAGCGTCCCTCTGTTAAGTTGGAGGTCCCAGTAACAGGACCGGCTCCTCTGCAGACATTCATGTCGTCCCCAAGTACTGAGTAAGTGGGCAAGAGCAAGCAGAAACATGAACCGGAAGCCTGGACGAACGGCAGTAATTGGCCGAGCAGTAAACCCAATATTAACCTGCTTTTTCCTTAAAATTAGAAAGGTTTTTTCTTTAAGAGGAAAGCCAGTGTGAACTAGAGCCAATTTTTCATAATACTGAACTGAACCAAAACTGTAATGTCAAGTGTGTTTCCCAAAATAATGTTTGATTTGCTCTGAGCCTCTGATAGTAAGTGTGGCCCTTCTTGAGGCTTAGGAAATCAGTAGTGATGATATTGCTTCACGTTATTCTCCCTGAACTGAAGGCGGGGGTGAGCTGTTTTCAGCAGGTGAGGCCAGGAGTAGAATTAAATAAAAAATACAGCTGGAACCTGAATTCTCCAATTGCTGCTGCTTTTTCCCTCTGGCTGCCAGCCTTGTAGTAAATTCTACTGCTTGGTAGGGTGGAGAGAATTAAACTGCATTTTTTTCATCTTTTAAGAGTGATAACGAGTTTGGTTCAGGTGGGAGACTTAGCAATATGTGACTAAAATGAGATGTTTTATTAACTCTGGCTTTCTGGATTTTCTTGCCCAGGTAGCTCAGATAATCTGGAGGTCGTGTTGCCAAATATTACGTGAGACAGACACACTTATACTAAAAGAAGATTTGTTTTTATCTAAATAACATATTCAAATTATTCCCATTTCACCAAGCATCTGTATTTTATTTGGCAGCCCTACCCAGAGTTTAATTTTCACAGATTGAGACTTCCTGTCTCAGCACAGAGAGCAAATTGACCTAATGCAGTGGTTCTCAAAGTGTGTTCTCTAGGCCACTAGCATCAGCATCTCCTAGGAACATGTCAGACATATAAGTTCCCAGGCGCCACCCCAGACGTGCAGTCAGAAACGCTTCAGTTGGAGCCAGAAGATCTTTGTTTTGACCACTCTACCGGATGATTCCAATGCAGCTGAAGTTTGAACAATGCTGGCCGGGTAGCTAGGGGCGCAGACTCTGAGTCAGATCATCTGAGTTCAGATCCTGACATTGATACTTACTAGCTCTGTGGCTTTGGGCAAGGCCCTTCACCCCTCCATGCCCTGTAGCTCCTTCCTAGGGTTGTCTTGAGGATTAAATGGTGTGAAGTACCGAGAACCGTGTCAGGGGACACTCACTGTGTCAGTGTCATTCTCTGTTCTTCCCCTGTTCTCCGTCCTGACCTGCCTTCTCTTTAGTGTGTGTTGATGCGCATGTGCATTTGAAAGTAATTCTTCCTCCCCACTTAGAAGGTGGCGAGGGAGCTCTGGCAACATCCATCAGTATTTTAGTACTCTGTGCTCTGCATTAGCCGGGCGTGAGTGTCACAGCATTTTCTGGCTCGAGGAACAAGGGAAGTTGGGTCAGGGAGGGCAGCTGACATGACTGGTGAGCTCGAAAAGCAGGAATGAATCCAGCTTCACCGCACTAGCAACTGGTGTTAGCTGTGCTGAGAGTAGATGGCAGGATGCTTAGCCAGCACTTCCAGTAAGAGGGTCTGTCAGGAGCCCAGTGATCAGTTGCAGGGCTGAGCTAACGAGCTTAGAGGAGACAATAGGTTCTTTTCTTAGAGGCTTCAGACAGAGAGATTATTGTTATTCCCCAGAATGGTACTCCCTAGGGAAGATAGGATCCACGTTGTTCACTGCTTCATTATTGGGGGTATGGGTTCAGGGATGGGGAAAGGGGCGTCCAGAGAAGCCAGAAGAGGCCAGGCTAAATGACGGCCGCAGCACATAAACTGATTTGTGTCTCCTTTTCCTTTTTTCCTTTTCTGTTCTGTTGTGGTTTTAAGTAAGTCTGTAGTTTTATGACATTAAAAGGAATGATCAACTAGTTCCCAGCTTTGACCTACAGATGAGTGACTCTGGCCCACATTTGCGTGCAGGCCGGCTACCAGATTACCCAGCAGAGGCTGCCGATCGCCGTGAATGGGAGCTTGGCGTACAGCGTCTGTGTGGGGAAGAGGCGGAGTCAGATGGTCACCAGGACAGCGGGGGTCAAGCAGATCCAGCTGGAACAGGACAGCGGCAAAAGCCTCCATGACAGCCTGCGGTCCCAGACGCTCATTGATTTGAATAGAGCGGGTAGGCTTGGAGAGTCCCCATTTTCTTTCCTGCCACTTCCCTTCCCCTCCAGAGTTTGCCCAAACCAACTGAGGAGACAGGCCCCGGAGCCTGACTAATGGCGATCGGAATATCATTGTTGGTGTTGGCAGAGCTGCTTGGAGAGCCGGGCTAGGACTGTGGTTTCTATGCGCTTGCAACTAACCCACCCCTAAAACGAGACAGCGTCGCCGCCTAGTCACAGACCCAGTAGCTTGACATCTGAAGCAGACATTAAAAGAAAAGAACCAAAGTTAAAAATCCAAGAGTGAGGGGAAAGTGAAACGATTCAGGGCCTGTCAGTGCTGCAGGGTTTTCCTAAGTTTCAGCCTGATGTATCTGCGGATCAGACTGGAGAGCTCCAATCAGACTGACTCTGCCTCTCTTTGGTAGGGGTCGGCCTTCTGGAAGTGGTCCTGGAGCCTGACATGTCCTGTGGAGAAGAGGCGGCTGCAGCCGTCAGGGAGCTACAGCTGATTCTTCAGGCCCTGGGGACCAGCCAGGCGAACATGGCAGGTAGCAGCCACAGAAGCAGTGCCCGCCTCTTCCCCATCTCCCTTTCCACTCCCAGGCTCTCTCCTCACTGGAGTCTTATTCTCTGCAGCAGCTACAGTGGGGTTGTTTGCATCCTTTGCTCAGCCTTTTCTACCTCAGGGTTTTGGGGTTTTTTCTTTAGAATTTTCCTTGAATTTTTTTCTGAGCCCCTGACCAAAAATAAACACACAAACAGCGGCCCTGCAGAGGTGCTGAGCCCAAGAGTGTGAGATTAGGAGTCCAGGGACTGGAGGTGTCCTCCTGGCCTCTTGCATCAGGACGTTGTGAGAATTAATAAAATAATGTGTTTGAACAGCTTCATCGTCCTCAGAAGACCCTGTGTTCATGCACAGTAGCTCTTAGTTTGTGAGTTCTGTGTGGGCAGCGCTTCACTGCTACTGGATGCTTTTTCTCTGGGTCTCTTTCCGCCTTTTATAGAATTTCCATCCAGGAAAGCTGAAGCCAGATTGTATCGACTACAAACCAAGGTTATGATTTCACAAAACTTTAACTTTGAGATAAAGTCTGAAATTCAATAGAAATATAATAGGGAATTAAACAGAAGAAACAATGTGAAAACTTGGGATCAAGGAAATTATACATTTTAAGTGTTTGCAAATTGGATACAAAGATCACAAGTTTTGGTCAAACCCAGTTTCTTCATGAGCCTTTCCTAGCGCTGCTTTGCCCACTCTTAACATCCCTGAATGCCCGTGTCTCCCGTGGTTTTCCCCTATTTTCTGTTCCCAGGGGCTTTTAAAAAATGTCTGCCGCTCGCAGAGCACTCCCTGACAGCGTGGAAAAAGGGTGCAGGTTCTGCATCTCCAGTGGTTAATCCATCTCTCAGTCCAGTGGTGCACTAGTCGGGGTTTTCCAGAGAAAGAGAACAAATAGAATGTGTGTGTGTGCACGTGCGTGTGACATGTAAAGAGATTTATTATAAGGAATTGGCTCATGTGACTGTGGAGGCTGAGGCGTCCCTGAGATCTGTAGTCATCAAGCAGCAGGAGAGTCAATAGTATAGTTCCAGCCCAGGACTGAAGGCCTGAGAATCAGGAGAGCCAAGGACGTAAGTTCCAGTCTGAGCCAGAGTCCAAGACAAGACCAGTATCCCCGATCCAAGGCAGTCAGGCAGAGACAGCAAATTCCCCCGATGCCAAAAACTCAACCTCTGTGCGCTGGTGCCAAATCGAATCTCAGAGACAGAGTTTGGGGTGAAGTAGAGGGGAACACAGTGGACTCATGCCCTCAAAACTGTGTGTCCCAACCCAGGGGGATTTGGTGAGGAGTTTTACAGCAGTGGTTCAAGGGCTGGGTTGCTGATAAGGATCAGGGTGTGTGCAGGGCCTGCATTCCTTTAATCTGGTCTCCTGATGAGCTTCTGTGGTTCTTGAGGCTATCACATCATGACCTTCTCTCTGGAATGAAGAATGCTTCATCAGGTAGTTAACATCTTCCATTTGTTGGGGGTTTTAGTTCTGTAAAGAGCTCAAAGATAGTGTTACGTGTATCCCTTGAGGGGGAACCAGGACCTGCCCCAAGGCTGCACTGTTGTTTCTTGACTGCTTCTCCCTTGTCTCTGCATCCCCTCCCTTCCCTGATTAGCAACTGTATGAACCTGCCCTTTGGAACTCAGGGAAGGTCATGGAGGCTGGAATCTGTTCTCTACAAACAAGAAACAGGGCCACAGAAAGGCTTCCATGTCCAGGAGCCCCGCAGGGTCCTGCTTGGCTTCACCCCCACTCTGCCTTTTGTTCTATTCTGGTTTTCAGCGGATTGAATGAGGCTCACCCACGGTGAGCAGGCAATCTGCTTTACTCAGTATATCAATTTGAATGTTTATCTCATTCAGGAACACCCTTACAGACACACCCAAAATAACATTTAACCAAATATCAGAGCATCCCTTGGCCCCGTCAAGTTGACACAAAAAATTAACCACTTAACATGTCACAGAGGGTGCCACTAAGTTCCATTGGTGGGGATGATTCATCTCCCTGTCGGTTTATCATACCATTTACTGACCATTTTGTCACACGTTTATTCACATGTTACAAAGGGACTTCAGAATTTGTAATGCCACATTTGTCACATAGGACATCTAATGGGCAACAAATTGTAACATCAAAGCCCTGGTACAAGTTGAATCTAGAGATGGAACTTGCCAATTTGCTCTCTTCTTTAAGCTAAAGTCAGGAAAAACACAGCCAGCCACATGAGTTTGAGTGGAGTGCTCTGTGTTAGAGCAAGAGAATTCTCCATTGTAGAATGGAGAATTGGCTCATGCTGTCTTTTTACCCACAGAATAGAAACGAAATATGGGCAGATTGGGTAGTTATCCATTTATGCATTGTTGCTTTAAAAAAGTTTTATTATTCCATTCTTCTTCAAAATAACTGTGATTCCTACCAAACCTATGGAATAATAAACAGGCCACCTGTTAGCTGAGAAATAGTCCCATCGGGTCCTTGCCAAGAGATAAACCATAACAGTGAGAACTCATCAGGCAGTGACAGCTGAGAGGGTTCATTAAATCTCATTTGTTGTGACACTTTTTGTTGCTTTTAAATACAAATCAGACAGCTTTGCCCCCAGCACAGCAGCAGAGTGGCTGATGTTGTCCTGAAGTGCTCTGGGTAGTGAAGGTCTGCCTGGAGTCTGCAGGTGTCCGACTTTTGGTGCTCTCAGCACTTTATCAGCCCAGGCCCCTTTCCCATCCTTCTGTCCCACCACCATAGGCCACTGTGTCGCCATTGGAGAATGCAGCCTGGGAACCAACGGAAGGCTGCCCTGGAGAGCACCAGTGGACCCCCAGCGTGCTTTTGGAATGAAACTTAAATTGCTCCGGGCTGTGCTTCAGTGAGTTCCTGATAGTTTTGCTAATGAGCGTAGACTAGCTCAGCTTGGGTTCCAGAAGTCACTTCCTTCTCAGGATGTTTGCCACTGTTGAGATCCTCAAAGCAGTCTGCTGAGTTGAATGTGTACCAAAGTATATAGATACGCTAAATGTTTCCGAGGTTGTAATATCTGCCGGTTTGAACATCGAGTATGTGCTCATCAGTTCACTGAGCATTTTTTAAATTAATTTATTGTCTCATTTAAACTTTATGACATTCCTGAGAGATGGGTATTACCGTGCCTACTGTACAGGTGAGGAGTTGAGGCTTCCAGAGGTTGGGTTATTTGGCCAAGGTGCACAGGAAGTGCCCGAGCCTGGGTGTGTCTGACTTCTGGACGCCTTCCTTTGTAAGCACTGTCACCCCGCTTCCTAGTGCCAGCCATGACAGTGTCTCTGCTGCTGTAGATAACAACCTTGAGGGCTTCCCTGGTGGCGCAGTGGTTAAGAACCTGCCTGCCAATGCAGGGGACAAAGGTTCAAGCCCTGGTCCGGGAAGTTCCCACATGCCACAGAGCAAAGAAGCCCGTGTGCCACAACTACTGAGCCTGCGCTCTGGAGCCAGCGTGCCACACCTACGGAAGCCTGAGTGCCTAGAGCCTGTGCTCCGCGACAAGAGAAGCCACCGCAATGAGAAGCGCACGCACTGCAACGGAGAGTACCCTTGCTCGCTGCAACCAGAGATAGCGCGTGCGCAGCAAGGAAGACCCAACGCAGCCAAAAATAAATTAATTAATTAAAAACAAACAACCTTGGGAGCTGGGTTAGCAGAGTGTGAGTGCTGAGGACACTGCAGGCCCAGACCTGGGGTGGAATCCTATCCTACCGCCTCTAGCTATAGAAACTGAGCGAGGTATTTGACTTCTGTGAGCCTCCCTTTCCACACTTGTGGAAAGAGAAAGGAAGAAACCAAAGAGGAGAGGAAGTCATCCAAGTCATCAAACAGAGTTGGGGCAGCAGGGTGGGAAGAGCAGGCGAGGACTGGCCTTGTGGAAGAAAACCTGGAATACCGTCTTGGACGTGTCAAGTATGAATTGCCTAAAGGACGTCTAAGTGGATGTATCATTAAAGCTCTGCTGTAGGGAAAGAACGTGGTAATGTGCATAAAACGTATCACAGGTCCTGACAAATAGCCTGTGCTCATGAAAGGTCAGGTGCTTCTATTGACAGTAGTAAGTAGAATCACCACTCATTGTGGATGAATAAACTTTGTGAAATATGTTGGATAAAATTGAGCCACATTATTTATTTTACCTTATTTTTTGTCAAACCCTGTTGTTTAAGTTCTGGAGAGTATTCAGTGATCAGAATGAGACAGCTTAATAGACTTTCTCACTAAATCATCAGGCCCCTGCTGTTGACAGAAACAGTTTTCTGCCCTGATGTTATATTTCTGGTGTGTGAATGTGTTTTAAAAAAAAAAAATGTGACTGCACCATATCACTGTGCTCAGTAGTACAGGTTTTTCGTTTTGCTGTTACAAATCTCTCTACTTCTAGAGGGTGGAAATTGAGCTTGATAACGTTCTTGTGAAGGCCCTCCCCCAGTGTTGCAGAATGCATTGAAGCAAACGTGACTGTGAGGCTTTTGTGGACTTGAGGCAATTTACCTTAATTTGTTTAAAAGGTATTTTGTCTTCACTGGGTAAATGCCTTTTGTGAGTGTTGGACACTGTATTGGAATCCAGGCAAGGGAACTGCCTTTCAACACTGCAGGACACTAAATGAGTCCCCTCAGACATCTATGGAGTGCGGTCTTCTCTGGGAGAGACTGAAACTCATGCTTTATTCCTTTTCCAAATTAAAAGTCTAAATTGTGAAAGATGGTTTTACTTTTAAAAGCAGGAGAGGTCCAATTCAGGGTTCTCAGGGCTCAAAAAAAGTTCTCTCCCAAGTATCGAGGTTTGGCTGGGCAGAGCTCAGCATACTTGGGAAGTTTTCCTTTGAGCTGAATGGGCCTTTCACGGGATTCAGTAGATTAGTCCTATTCAGACAGAACTTTAGAACTTGTCGGGAACCTACTGTGAGACCAGTCTGCTTACTCGTGGCTCAGGAAAATACCAAGGTATGAATTTATCGAACAATTACCATGTGCCAGAGGCAGCTCTAGGTTCTGAACAGAGCAGTGAAAAGGACATTGTTCCTGCTACCTGGAGGAAATATTGTATTCATGAGGGAGACAAATACATTAACAAATAGAACAAAGTAGTTACAGTGATAAGTGCTTTAAGGAAATACAGAGGGTGCCATGATAAAGAATACATTGGATGGTGAGGGCCTCTGGAGAATAACCCGAGGCCCCAGCCCCAGGGAGCTAGAGGATGAGCGTCCAGGAAAGAGCCCAGGCAAAGTCCCTGAGGTGAGGAAGACGTACAGTATATGCTTGGAGGTAACACAGGTGGCAGAAGACCACTGTAGGGAAGGCGCGAGGAGCAGGACAGTGTGGCCTCAGGTAAGACTGAAAAGGTCTGCGAGCGCTAGATCACCAACAATAAGAAGTTTGGATTTCATTCCAAGGGCAGTGGGAGGTCAAGGAAGGGCTTTTAAGCCAAGGAACAACATAGTCGGATTACCGTTTTGGAAAACCACCGCGGCTGCTCCATGGAACGTGGGTTTCAGAAGGGTATGAGTAGAAGCTGAGCCCAGTTCCGAAGCTTTGGCAGTAGTTCAGGTGGAGGATGGTGCTCTTCTGGACAGGGCTGGTGTCGGTGAGGATGGAGAGAGCAAGATGGTGGATTCGAGGTGGTTTTTAGAAATAACAGGATTTTTGTTAACAGGCTGGTGTAGAAGGCAAAGAGGCCGGAAGGAGTCAAGGAGGCTTGAGGAACGAGGTGGCGGTGCCATTTGCTGACACGGGGAAGATGAGGACAAAGGTGCATGTGTTGCAGGGGCAGATCCTTTAGTTTCGGAAACTGAAATGCCTGGGCCACCTCCACGTGGAGATGAAGTAGGCGCAGAGGTCAGTGTGGATGGAGTTCAGAGTAGGGTTTTGGCTGAAGAGAGAAATTCAGGAGTTATCAGAACTTGGATGGTGTTTAAGACCATATACATTTACAGAGAGAGTGCAGGTAAAGAAGACAGTCCTGAGTCTGGATGGGAACAAATGACACGGACATGGAAAGTGTCCAGGAGGTAGGGGCCAGCTAAGGGTGAGTAAGGTCACAGCAGCCGAGGGAGGAAGATGTTTCAGGGAGGAGGCGTTGGTTGGTAGGTCACGTGCCGCCGAGGGCCGGCGTATCCAGTGAGGGGAAGACACAGCGTGTCCTGCGTCCGTGGGATTTGGCAGCCAGGGGTTGATGGTGACTTTGACAAGGCGTTTTGCAGAGAGGTAGGGACAGAAGCCAGGCTGACATGGGTGTAGGAGTAAATGGGAGGTGAGCTCACGGAGATGAGATGCCAACAAACAAGCAGTACTTGTTTGAGAGGATTTGCTGAAAAGGAAAGCAGAGCAATAACAGCAGAATGATGAAGAGAGAACTGGGTTCAAGGGAGTGGGTCTTTGGGGTTTGTTTCTAGTGAGAAATACTGTTGATTATGGATACACATGCATAGAGGGAATGCTGAGGAAGAGGGTTAAGGAGTGCTGTGGGAGAGAGGAGAGAACTGAAGGAGTGATGTCTTTGGGAAGGCAAGAGGGGTGGGAGTTTTAAATCTGGGCTCCATTCCCAAGGGCCTTCCATCTGGTCTCAGAGAAAAGACTAATTCAGAATAGACTACAATCGTGTGCTCTACTGATTGCATGTGTTCTGATAGCTCCGAGGAGCCACCAGTGGAGGCTGGCCTACTGATGAGGGTTTCCAGGAGGAGAAGGTGGTACCACTTCTGTGGGACCTCGAAGGATGAGCTGAGGTTGAAGGAGGGACAGTGACAGGGATGACGAGGGCCTGTGGGGACCAGCGAGCAGACAGAAGCTTCCCTGATGGGAGGAGGCTTTCTCAGGGAATGAGCAGCAGGAAATGTGGGGTGTATCAGTCAAGACCAGACGAGGGCTCTTGCATACCAAGCAGAGGAGGTGGGATGACCCGGTGGGAGCCAGCTGTGCACTTGGTCAAGTGCTGGGAGTGATGCAACCGTCCTGTAGCAGGATGTGGCTGGAACTGAGCTGGAGCGGGGTGGGGCTGGAGCAGGAGGGGTCACTGAGTTGAAGGTCAGGATGGGATGCGGGTGCTCAGGCAAGGATGGCAGCCATGGGAATGGAGAGGAAGTGACAGCTCTGAGGGATGTTTGGGGGGAGGAACTGACAGGATCTAGTCAGTTAGACTACAAAGGGCCAAGAAAACAGAGCAGCAAAGGATGCCGCAGGGTTCCTAGACCAAGAGTCTGATGATATCAGGAGTCGCTGGGACTTCTTGAGATTCAAGGAAGCACATGTTGTCCTAAAGGGGCTATGGGATTTTGTAGAAATGTGAGAGGTCCATTCTGGAGACATAGAGTAATTTCTGGGCTGAAAGGCACCTTTTCCCTGCCTGTTAACGTGGGTGGCCATTGGAGCGGCAGAGTGGGAATGACAAGAGACCTGTTGCAAGGGTCTCTTTTTCTTGGCATAGAGTATATTTGAGCTATTTTATTATTTTAATATGCTTTTGCTATGAAACCTTGGAAAAGAAATTGCTTTCTTCAGCCCATCGACACATTCCTCTCTGGCAGATTCTTTTTTAGTTCAAAGACTTGCCTAAGAAAAATCCAGCATTTTGTCTTCCCCTTTTGTTCTGTTTTAAATATTGTAAGTGGAATTGGAGAACAGAGAATTGAGGCCTTACCTTGCAGGGTATAAAATGTGATGATTTCTTATCTTTATCTCTCTTTGGCTTGAGATTTTGCCTCCCTATCCTCCTCAAGAGCCTCTTGGCCCTCTCCATAAACCACCTGCTTCCTTAGGGATTACTGTTCCCAAAATGGGGCGGGGGGGGGGGCTTGCAGGGTCAGAGAAGGTCCTCCCAGGATGGGGATGGCCCCCTCTGAGTCCCTCCCCCACAGACCGTCCCCTTCATAACAGCACTGTCTGTCTGCTGCGGCAAACCCTTACAGCAGTCAGGAAGGATTCCGAGTCCTGTTTACGGAAGGAAGAGATCATTACAGTACCTGGAGGAAGGACGAGGGGAAAAGCCCAGGTTTCTGGCTCTTGCCCTTGAGCTGTAAATTCTCAAGGACCCTCTTATAAATCTCCCAGAATCACTGTTGGAAATCCACATTCCATTGGAGAGCAGTGTAGGGCTATCACATGATCATTTCTGAAGCCTTCCCCCACAACCCAGCTCTGACACTTTGAAAAACACTTCGGAATAAAACTGCAGGGTAAATCTCCATTTTTAACAGTGTTGTTTTTCTTATTTGGCATGAAAGAAATTAGATTTCCCAAGCCAGTATATCCAGAATTTCTCCTGCATTCTACATGTGCACAGGTGCACAGAAATGTATACACACACACCCCTCAGATGCCTTAGGACCATCATTTTTGCAAGTGGGCAGAAGTTAGTACTTCAGGACCAACCTTACTTCCTCTAAGGTTAGGCTGCTGTAACTAAACAGCAACTAGAGTTAGACGTTGCTTGTACTCTCTTGCCTTGAAAAAACCACGATTGCCTCAGAGAATTTCTAAAGTGTTGTCTTTTTTCTTTCCTTACAGAGGGCCAGTTGAGAGTGGACGCCAACATATCTGTGCATAACCCTGGGGAGCCTTTGGGCATTCGAACCGAAGTAAAGAATCTCAATAGTGCCAGGTTTTTGGCCAAAGCTATAGGTGAATGTCAGCTGTTACTCCTCATATACTTCTTTGTATCAGTTATCTGTTGCTGTGTAACAAGCATCCCCCCCCCAACTTAATGGCTTACATAATAACATCTCAACTTCAGAGTTTTGTGGCTTGGGTGGTTTTTCTACTTGTCCTGCCTTGGCTCGTTCATGTGGCTTTGGGGAGCCGGCAGCTCCGCTGAGATACAGGGTCCAAGATACCTCACTCACGTGTTGCAGCCTTGGTGCTGGATGTCTGCTGGGCTGCTCTACCCACGTGGGCTTGCTTCATTCACTTGCCTAGCCCAGCCCTTCTTATTTGGCGGAGGGGGCACCCCAGGAGGATGAAGGCAGATGCCTCAAGGCCTCTTGAGTCATTAGCTCTAGAACTTGCACAGCATCTCTTCCAGCACATTCCATTCAAAGCAGGTTCAAGGGGAGGGGAAATAGACTTCACCTCTATGGGAGGATCTGCAAAATCCTGTAACTCTGTTTTTCCATGTACCACATTCCTTCTGACCAGACCGAACTGTATAAAGTCGTATTTGTTCATTATAGATGGCCACGATTTGACCTAATTGGTCAGTATGTTTTTCTGCTTTTTACCGTTTTAACTAATAGATTGCTTGGGCCTGTGTAATCAGGTATTGGTCTTGTTTGTTCACATTGTGGATCTTTCAGTGTGGACAAATGTATACTAGTAGTTAAAATCGAACAGTTGAGCAAGGTCAACATCTAGGGTGGTCCATAGAAGTTGATATCTGTGAATATGAGGGGAAGACATCTCAGAGGAATGAAAATATTCTTTAAAACCAAAGGTATCTAGAGAGGAAGAGAGGAGGGAGGAGGTGGAGGTTAAGGTGCACCCTTCAGGGTACACAGAGAACGGGATGGATGAATGGAGTCACAGCCAAAAGGTTTAGTAGCATCCTGGGTATTAGAAGGAACACAAAAAAGATTTTCTAATCTTGTATAAAATTTTATTATCCTGAACCTGAAATCATCAACTAGCCTCAGTGAAGACACTTTGAGTCTGCAAGTTTTCAGGAAAAAAGCATTAAAATGGTCAAAGGGATGACTTACAGGAGAGGAAGGTGTTGGGGAAGGTCCCCGCGTGAAGACAGACTAATGATGGTGGACTCTTCTGCCTGTAAAAGGAGACACAGTCCACATTTCTGAGGCCATGATAGGTTTGGGTTAGGGAAAACCCTCCAGCTCAGGTTTGTGAAGGGGAAGCTTGGAATGAACAGAAAGAAAGTTCTACTTCACCTTGTAGGTGATAAGTGTTCTGGAACTCATTCTAAGAGGTGGTGATGGGAACCTAAAAAACAAGATTTTAGGTAGGTTCATCCCTGATGACTTATGATGGAGACCCCTGCCTGATTTTGGCTGTCCCTAACCTGTTATTTTATGAAGGACCCTTTGGAGTAGTCTGAGACAGAATTCTACCTGTGGTCTGACTCAGGCTGGAAGAACCGAAGCTTTACTGTTATGGGCTTAATTCTTCAAGCCTGTAATTTTTCTACCCCATGTTTCTCCCTACATCACGCTTTTTAGCCATCCTCTTCGTGTTGCTGCTTTTTATCAGCTATGATAAGAGTTTGGATTTGGGCAAGGGCAGGTGGTACATGTTGGGCGGGGAGTTGAGGGGGGAGCGGAGGCTAAAGCTGTTTTCATAAGGAAGCTTAGCAACTGTGGCTGTGCTTTGCTTACCACTTCTGCCTTGTTGGGTGGTGAGGGAGTGTGGCATAGAGCAGTGGCTGTTCATCATTTGGGGTCATAGATCCCTCTCCATATTTTGGAGAGAGGGTCCAGAATTTTTATTCTGGACCCTCTCTCCAAAATATGTGCCTGTGCACACATGCACATTTGCATATAATCTCAGGAGGTACTAGAACCCCTTGAAGGCCACCCGTGGATCCTGGGATAAAAACTCTTGATAAGCAGCGATCTTAGATCTGGGGTCATTCTGCGTAGATATTGGTCCTAGCCCTGCTTCTGCCACGTTTTGTAGCCTGTACTGGGTTATGCAATCTCTCTGAGTCTGGGTTTCCTCAAAAAGTGAAGAAGCAGAGCTTCCTAAAAGGCCCTTTCTAGCATGATTATTCTATGACGGCAGCAAGAATAAAATATAGCATCTGTGGGAAGAATTATAAACAACTCCCTTGATTAGTTTTTGACATAAAGATCGAAAAAGATGTCTAATTATTGCTAAACTGGATGAAAGGGATCAAAATATGATACTAAACTATTATTTTTAGACTATGAAATTCAGAGGCAAATCAATGAACTCGAGAATGGAGGTAAAATCCTGAATGAAACTCGCTCGTTCGATTACAAGCTGGGGTGAGTTTGCATGACAGCATCTTGAATACAGGTAGGTGGGGCTCCAGTCTGGGCTCACCACAGACCAGCCATGTCACCTTGGAGAAGGTACTTAGCTTCTCTGCACTTTGGTTTCCTCATTAGTAAAATTAGGAAAATACGGTACCCTACAGGGTTGTGATATGCCCTCTAGGGCTGGTAAGAGGTTTCACCTGACTGCCATCAGACTTGCTGAGTCTTAAGTCCTGGCACTTCCCTGGCTTCCAGCTTACCTCCTTTGTTCCAAGAATTTTTACTTCCTTAAATTCTATCAGACCTAAGTTCTGCCAATTTAAGCTAGAAGTGGAAGAAAGCTTAGAACTGGTTGTAGTGGTGTCTTTTTCTGTTTAGATATCTTTGAGTCTAACTTTCTGACTCTGAATTTTGAGGATTTTATACACTTAACAGAAGACTGGGGAAAAAAGCTCAAGAGCCTAGAGTTTGAGCTGGTTAAATGTTGGAAACGTTGAAGCAATTTCTTTTCTGTTCTTTTTCTTTAATTATCATGCTAAACATTTGTCTTTCTTTAATATTATTTCTGCAATGTATTCATGAAAGTGTCTCCCAAGGAAGGCTGAGGAGCTTGAATCCCCTGGGTTCCCTATTGGTAGGGGAACCCCTGTCTGCATCTACACTAGCTGACGCTGCATGCAGCATTTTTAAAATGTTTTCTCATTTAACTGTCACAGGTGCACCGTGCCGATGAGAGACAAAGAAGGAAAACAAGACTACAGGTGGTTACTCCTCCTGTCAAAACACCATTCTATATTTGGGTCATATTCCAGGTCCACTTACAGACCAACATAATGATCCTAGATTGCTTTTAGGAACCACTTTTCCTTGTTGTTGTCGCATAATGGAAAATCTAGGCTTCCTGTTTTACGTGTACACTGAGAGGAAGAGTATTTTCTTGATTTGGTAGCCTTGGAGTACCTTATTTGACAGGATTCAACAGCTGGAAAACACTTGTTCACTCACCTCTGTGTCAGAGTTTTCATAATTGAGCTAAGAGGATGGCAGTTGTGGGGTGGGGCCTAGGCTGTTCTTATTCTCATGTTCAGTAATTAATGCAGTAACACTGAAGTTCTGTGAGAAGGTAGAAAAAAGAGATGTATATGTTAATGGCAGTTCCCTTCAAACCTCAGGTGATGCTGTTTAACACGTTAGGCCTCATTTGAGATCCAGAAATAAAGCAAATAATAAGAATAGCTTCCAATAAATTGAGACTTTTGTTTCTTCCCAGTTTAGCAGACTGCAAAAATTAAAGATTTAAGCAACAAAGTGGTGGGGGTTGGCACTTTCCTTTGCGAAGTGCAGGAAGAGGTAAGAGTAGCCATTGCTGTCAATGAGGAACAAATATAGCATCGAGATTTAGGAAAGACAAAGCTCACAAACCCTTAGAATGCATGTCACCTCAAGGACTCCTCTTGTGTGTCTGTCAAAGTCACCATTGTTCTAATTATAGTGATCCCTCTAGGTTCAGTCTGTTCTTCCTAAGAACTTCTTTGTTTTCCATTGTCGCCCCTACTCTGTTTATGCTGCTTTCTCACTGAGCGTGGAGTTGGCTTTTAGCACAGCCAGTGGCTTCAGCTCTGTCTCTCAGGTTAACAGATGGGATTCAGGAAGCCTCCCTTTGGTTTCCTCTTGCCTTCAGAAGTCAGACTAATTCATAGCACAGATTTGGCATTGAGGTGATGGGTTACTTGCCCTTCTGAGCTATTACCTTGGAGCCACCATTCTGCATTACCCTGCTTTTGCATAAGCCCTTTGACAAATATGGGCAGAGAGAAAACGTTAGACTAGAACAGAGGGAAGGACATCTTTATTTCACAAGAGTATATGCAGCGGTGCGGCTTCCACATTTTTTTAAAAATTAGTTGACTTTTTTAGAGCAGTTTTAGGTTTACAGCAGAACTCAGTGGAGATTACAGAGTTCCCATATACTCCTTGGTATGTGTCGTATCCCCCCACCCCCCGCCCACACACACAGAGGTTCCTCTGATAACACCTTGCATTAGTGTGTAGTGTGGTACCTTGGTTAAAATTAATGAACCAATATTGATACCTTATTATTAAGTAAAGTCCATAGTTTACATAAGGGTTTGTGCTTTATGTTATCCATTCTGTGGGTTTTGACAGATGTATAATGACATGTAGCCACCATTACAGTGTCATAGAGAATAGTTTCACTGCCCTAAAAATCCCTTATACTCCCTTTATTCATTCCTCCTTCTCCCCTAGCTTCTACATTTTATTTAGGCAAAATCCATTTATTTCTTGCACTTCTCAAGAAAGAAAGTTTTCTTTTTCTTTGATTTTTCATTTGTTACACAAATACTGCTAAAAATATTTAAAAATGTATAGTCTTTCTTCCTAAAAAGTAAATTGTTCTCATTTGGTCCTATTTTTTCCAGCCTATGTCTTTATGAATATATACTTTATCCACAATTACAAACCACAGTGTGGCATCAACATGGTGCTGTGCCTTTTTCACTTAATGCTCTTAGTTTAAGCATAGAGAGTGGTGGATTTGGTCATTTTGACCTTACACTTGTATAAGGACTAGTTCCTGGAAAACTAGGAGACTTGATGTTATGGGATGTTGGAAAATATTTGCAAGTAACATGGCATCCAGACACACACTTTCATACTGACGATAGGTTTGTTTCTTCCAGCTAAACCGAATACTCAGTCATGCCATCTCCTCTGTGTGCCAGGTTAATGCCGGAGCCCAACCTGCCCCCGCTGCTGCTCTACGACTCGGGGTCCCTGCCCCCTGGCACAGACCCGCAGCAGGTGATCAACATCGACCAGCTCCGGGAGCAGCTTCCCGAGCTGCCCCGCGTGACCCGGGAGAAGCTCGTGCAACAGTATGGGATGCTGCCGGAGCACAGCTTTGCCTTGCTGGTGGGTACTGATCAGAGGCTGCGATCAGCCCAGCAGGGGCGGGGGATGCTCCTCAGGGGGCTCTAGGTGCAGTGGCCCATGCCTTCAGCTGTACCGTAGAACCAGGCGTGCTAACCTTCCTCACCAGCCTTTTTGGTAAATGCTCCTCCGAAAACCAGAAGATGAGGCAGGATCTCGTGTCAGTCATTCCTTGTGTGTAGACACGAAGAGCTGCTCACAGCGGCCGTGGAGGCTTCTTGAAGACAGTCCAAATGTTATGGATGAGTGTTCTCCCTTGCGTCTGCAGGACAAAAGGAAATCAATATATAGGCTTTCTAGATGTCTGGCAGTATTGGACATGACAGAGTCTGGCAGGAAGTGGGGTTCTCAAAAAGCCAGCCAGTTGTTTTACCAGTTGTAGAAGAAACATTTATTCCACATGAAATGCTGAAAACTCTGACTAAAAGTGTTGGTCCTTAGAGGATGCATCTGAAGGGGCTGTTAAGAATCTGACACCATGGAGATGTGCTCAGGGATTTTCCATCCTTTCCAGGGCTGTTGGGCTTTGCAGTTTCCTTTGTCACGGCAACATTAAAGTGACACAGCGTCTGTGAGAGTGGCATTTCGTCACAGCTTGTCTGTCAGGGAGGATGAGGAAAGTTTCCCTGCTGCATCTCTCGGGGATGAGGTGTCTGCCACACTCATCGTGTGGAGCGCAGAATCCCTGGAAACTGGGCTTTGCATTGTAATTGACTGATAATAACTGTGTAGGGATGTTAGAATATTCCTATTCGTATATATATGTATATACTTCAGTAACAAAACTTGGCCATTTCTGGTACAAGGTAGGCGAGCGAATGCTTGTTGAATGAATGAGTCTCTCTTTATCATCCATTGATCAGCTCATTTGAAAAGTATCCAGAGTATACAAAACTCAGTTTTGTTAGGTCGACCTTGGAAAAACACACGAATCCTAACAGGCTTTCCGGCTAATAGGTGTTCTGTGCGAGATGCACATGAACCCTCTTTCACCACCAGTGATTAGACACGATGGGTTATTTTCTCTTGCTTTAGGCAGAGTTGCTCACCACCTCCCATGGGCTGCTGTTGTATCTTATTCACACCTCTGAGGTGATTATGTCACTGTATTTTAATTCTTTGTTAGTGTATTTCATTCAGTGCCTTGAGGGCGAGGACGGTTTCATCCTCTCCCTCTGCTCCATTACTCGGTGCAGATTAGCACGTCAGCAGTGCTGACTGCCAACTCTTTGTAGGAATCAGTTAGTGAGCTTCTTGTTCAGAGCACCTCTTAACCTGAAACCTCTGGCAAGTCACGGCCTGTTCCTCAGTTGATTTAACAAACCTGAGTTTTAGTCTTACACATCTTCCCCACCATCTTGACTTTCCAGCCCACTTGAAATAAACTTCAGACTCAATACTAAATGCTAAATTCCAGTCCTGCATTTCATAACGGATTTGCCAAATTAAATAAGGGATGGGAGGACACAGACCGAGGCTTCTCAGCCCCAGGGATAGTACCCTCACCGCCAGCAAGTTCTCTGAGGCAGAGGCACATTCGCACTTGTGTCTGTGTCCCAGGCTCTGCTCCCGTGACCTTCAAGTGCCACAGCCTAGGAGGTCTTGGATAGATGGTTGCTGAGGGTGGCAAGTGAGTGAGTCTCTGTTTTCATAGTTTAAAGGCCCTGTTTAGGGAAACTTATTTTTGATCTCTTCAGTACAGCACTTTTACTGGCATCTCCTGTGTAGCAGGTACTGAGACAGGGACAGGGACTCTCCTTTTTGTTTGTTTGCTCTCCAGGAATATGTACAGATGACACTACAACTAACCAGTCCCCAGGGCAGACTGCACTAGATAGATGTGTGATGTAGGCTGGGAGCCCAGAGGAGGCAGTGATTACCTTGATGGAACAGAGGGGAAAACTCTCAAGAAGGAGGTGGTTTTTGAGCCAGTTTTATAGGGACTTGTTTTTTTTGATATACTAAAAATATGCTTATTTTTATAGCTTGCAGATAATGTAGTAGGTGACTCATTTCGGTTTTTTCTTTTTCTTTCAATGGCTAGTACTTGAAATTTTCAAGACGGTTGAGAAGAGAACTTAGTAGGAATGGAAGGAGGATGATTCAGACAAATTTTTTTTTCCTGAAATTAGGCATCCTGAGCCCTTGATGACTTGATAATCACTGGAAGCTGAGTTACTCGTAACATACCCGAAAATGGTCTGTTCACGTTTTTTCCTCCCTTCCTCAGAAACACAACAGATTGCTGAGAAGGGCAGATGCACAAATCTGATGAACTCTCTTTCAATTTAAAGAGTGCCAGGAGTATTCATTAAATCAGTAGCTGTGGTGGAGGTCTGCTCTGCAGAGCTCCGAGTCCATACTCCTGCCTTTGGGTCACTTATTAAATTAAACATTAAGCACATACCCACCCCGCACAGGCCTTACCCACAAATGAATATAAAAAACTTCAGAACTTAACTCTAGTCTTTAATTTTTTTTAATTGAAGTATAGTTGATACACAATATTATATAAGTTACAGGTGTGTACAATACAGTGATTCACAATTTTTCAAGGTTGTACTCCATTTATAGTTGCTGTAAAATATTGGCTATCTTTCCTGTGTTGTACAACTCTAGTCTTTATCTTGTCGTCCTACTGTGTGGTGAGCGCTGAATTGCCTATTGATCATTTCTCCTTGGCATTTACAAAACTCTAATATAGGTCTATCTTAGCATCTACCACAAAGTCTGGCACACAGTAGGCATCAGTGAACAGATGGACAGGTAAGTGGATGAATAGGGTACTGTCACAATACTCATGAAAGTCCTGGGAGAAGCAGTGTTCCTGATAAAGCATCCCTGTTTCCAAAGGTCAGATACATAAACCACCCTTTTGACAGCCCAGCAAATCACAGGGTGGTACCTGTGTCCTTGAGCTCCGGGGGGAGAAGCCTGGGGTTTCCGCCTTAAGCTCACCACGTGCCGTGACCGGCCTCAGGTCACTTGGTCTCTCTGACTCTTGTTTTCTGAACTGGTTTCTTTAGGACATTAAATATCTGCATTCTGGTTTCATCTCTTAAACCCGTCTGATAATCCCCTCCCAACAGGTAACCTGTATGACTGTTTCTTCCTCTGGCCTCTTGAAAAGTATCATGTCCCACCTAAAACTTCAGCCTAGTGAGCTAACCTTTCCTCCCTATCTTGTGTCAGACTCCCTTGATTCCTGACCTCATTTGTAAGGACCATGGAATGGACATAATGGAAGCTGAGATCACAGCATTAGGATTTTGAAAACTGAGAGATTCTAGTAGCGGAAGCACAGCAAGTTCTTCTCTGAGTCAGTGTATCCAGGATTAATTATGAGAACAGTCAAGGTTATATGCAGGTACGTTTTTCTGGTAGATAATCCCAGGTGTTTTCTTTGGGGGCATCTCTTCCTAAACCTTGCTTTGCTGGACTTGGAACGCAAACGAATTGTTGTCATTGGCTTGATAGGCAGCGCAGAGTCGAGGCTGTTGGCTAACAGCAGGTTGTGCGGTTCACAGCAGACCACTTTCTAATCCATCCTCCCAGCATCCCCTGCTGTCGGTACCATACATCGCCCCATTTTCCCGGTGAGGAAACATCACCTCTGTGGTTGAGTGGTTGAGTGTAAGACACTGAGTGACTTCATCAGGCCTGTGAGGGAGCTGACTGCAGGGCCCAGACTCTTTACTTGCAAGCGCTTCTGCCTGCTGGCACATACAATGTGCCACAAGGCCAAGTGGAAATAATGTTTCAAGTTCATTGCTGTTTTCACTCACCTAGCAGAGAAAACAGAATGTTTACTTTTGTGGATATTAATGCTTTATCCAGCCCCACTGATGCTTCATGAAACGGAGCCGTAGAAATCAGTCTATTTAAAACTTTTGCCCACCCCTCTAGGTTTTTAAGATACCAGCCTGCCTATAAATAAACATAAAAAGTGCTGTCTGCTGAATTCAGTGAAGATCAGTCAACTCCAGTGAAAAGCAGAAATTTTATTCATTTTCCAAGTAGAAAATTTAAGTCAGAGGAAAGAAATGTAAGCTCTTCTCTGCAGTTTTATTTATTTTGTTTCTTAGACTTCCTGCCTTAGGTACTTGGCCCCTTCTGACGGAATCATTGAGAAGGACCTCCTCATAGTGCATGGGGTTTGTAGGTTTTGTGGGATGATTTTGCCCAGTTCCTTGTGTCATGCACTTGGTAAGAATGCATCTGAGCTCACAGGGTGGCTGGCCGTGTATGAATTCAGTGGACAGATTTCAGTGTCATCTGTCGTGGGAGGTTTAGTGGAGGAATGACATAGCAGCCTCAATTCAGTGTTTCTTGAGAGCCCACTGTACTCACCACAGTGCCCTATGCTGTTGTCAGATGTAAGAGCTTTATCTTTTGTGTTGTGTTTAATTCTCCTGAGGAGCCCTGCAGGCCAGTGGGTTAACACACTAAGAGACAGACACTCTTTTCTTTTTTTTCCTGACACATAGTTGATTTACAGTGTTGTGTTAATTTCTGCTGTACAGCAAACTGACTCAGTTATACACGTATGTACATTCTTTTTTATATTCTTTTCCATTATGGTTTATCCCAGGACATTGAATATAGCTCCCTGTGCTATACAGTAGGCCCTTGTTATCCATCCAGTCTGTATGTAATAGTTGGCATCTGCTAATCCCAAACTCCAATTCCGTCCCTCCCCCACTCCCCCCTCCCCCTTGGCAACACAAGTCGAGACAGACACTCTTTCTTTTTTTTCAAGATTTTTTTTTTTTTGATATGGACCATCTTTAAAGTCTTTATTGAATTTGTTACAATATTGCCTCTGCTTTATGTTTTGGATTTTTGGCCCCGAGGCATGTGGGATCTTAGCTCCCTGACCAGGGATTCAACCTGCACCCCCTGCGTTGGAAGGCAAAGTCCTAACCACTGGACCGCTAGGAAGTCCTGAGACAGACACTCTTGAGTCCAGATTTCGCCTCTGG